ATCTGCTACACCTGTCTCTTATACACATCTGAGAGAGAGAGAGAGAGAGAGAGAGAGAGAGAGAGAGAGAGAGAGAGAGAGAGTTGAGACTTGGTGACCATTGGGGCTATTTGCCCAGACTCGGACATTGTGTTCTGGACAGAGACTTTGAGGGACTATTGTGGAGACTATTCTTTCGCAGGGCTATTGAGTTGCAGTCTTCCCTTCAGTCTCCCCCTCTTCATCTCTACCTCCATCTCCTTTGTCCGTGGACGTATCCAGGGCATGGCCGCTATCTTCTGTGCACAAGCCGCCATACCCGTCCCCGTGTACAAATGATGATGGATGTACTTGAGTTCGATGAGTCAGATGTGTGTATTTCAGTCTTCCGCTGCATAGTTATTGTTGTTCTTCTTCATAGTGATCCTTGGGATCTGCACCCTGCCTATCTGATACTACAGGCATGCGATAGCGCTGCAAACATCCCAATGTTACGATCCTGGCCAATTTCGAAGTCCACAATCATCAGAAAGTACAATGTTGTCCAATTGCGAAAAGAAATGAATGAACTTGAGCCCAATGCCGTCCAATTGCAAAAGAAATGAAAGAACTTGAGAGGAGAGAGAGGGAAAGAAGAAGAAGAAGAATTAAGAAAGAAGAAAGAGGTGATGTACTCCACCATAGACCAAAGACAAAGCTCTTCTTCTTCGCTCAACAACCTCCTTCTCTTTATCTCCTCCTCTCTTATTCAAACAATAAATAAACAATAATAATGTTGAACAGCTGAACCAGAATCAATGTCTGAATCCCACTTCTACTGCAGGCACAAGATGAGGTCCACCATAGCCATGGCAGCCCTTCTTCTTCCTCCACATACAGGCCGAGGCTATGGCGGACTACGGAGGCTTCGAAAATGATATTTCCCGAAAATAATTAGCTGTCCAGTTCACAAGACTCCGAGCGGCGAGCCAATCAAGGCTCATTTCAATAATTTCTCAAAAAAAAAATGATGTTTCCAGAAAATGATCTGCTGGCCAATTCCCAAGGCTCAGAGCAGTGAGCCCCAAAGCAGCTACACCGCTGCCCCACTTCAAGGTCATCACCCAGCAGCTATGCCGCTGCCCACTCAACCGCCATGCCTGACTCTGTCCGAGCTTCYKTGATGCGGCACTACCCCCACTGGGGSCTTCCTGATGCAGCGCCTARCAAGRAGATGAAGATGGTGTCTACCATAGCCMGTAAGTACCTCGCCACTCTCCTCCTTGGTCCCCTTCTCCCTCCTCCTCCTACCGGTAGAGCTCCACCATAGCCAAGGTGGAAGCTCCCGGCTTCTTCCTCCCAGCAGCGCTGTAGTGCCCAGCTCTACTCCAGCCAGCGCTCCAGCAGCGTGACGCCCAACTCGCACACTGAAGAATTGAGGCGGAGCTCTTGCCTCCGCCTCTAGATATAGCGGCCTGCTTGCCTCTTGGGCGGTGACTTCCAGGCCGCCCGGCCTCTCCAAGCAACCGGTACCTCCTCCGTTTCGGAGGGAAACATCATTGCAGACCCTGATATTACCCGTACAGGCTCTAGACTCAGACTGGTTGGACTGGTACCRGCCTAGACCTACCCTACCGCTACTGGACTCTAAAAATGCCAACTTTGTCTTTTTCTGCTCGTCCTCCAGTACCCCTCACGTCAACTGCAGTGGGGTGCAGTATCGGCCTACCGGCCTACTTGAGTGTTTTTCCGCTACCCCAAGGGCCTCAGGGCCGCTAGCTTCGCCACTTGAGTGTTTTCCCTGCTACAACCCTCAATGCCACGGCCACAGGTACGTACCGGCCCTACGGGCCTACCAAACAAGCAAGTACCCTTGCGGGTCCCACACACACTCATACCAACAAGCACTCAGACAGGCATGCAGTTCACAAGCACGCACACACACAGACAGACTTAGAAAACACAGCAGAATGCGGGAATCTCATCAAGGCATCCATTCCATCGGCAGAACTCCAGAAATCAGCAGTGTTCTCAGTCTGTGTTATGACGGGTCATTACACCAAACGTATAAGATGGGATGATAATTAGCATGGGGATTATGAAATCTGGGATCACTTGTCCAACTACACACTGCTGCATACATTAAAAGCCACTGACTAGCCATGGGCAAAGGTCTGTCTTCGCAATACATTCATCTGCCTGCATTATAGACATGAGCAGAAAAATCCACCTCAGTGCCAGACAGAAAACCTGAATGCCAATGAATGACTACTACAGATTCTATCCTAATCTTCTCCATGGGGGGAGCAGATGGGTAGAACACGACTTACACAATTTTCATCTCCGCCACATCACTTAGATTCACTGCATTGGCACGTGCCAAATATCTGGCATGAAGAGCCTCTTCTTCCACAACACTGAGTGGCGGTGACCCAAACGCACTTAGACCAATCAATCCTCCCCATCTCTGCCAAGCCGAGTTCAACTGTGCAGCCCTCTCCATTTGCTCTTTCCTTCGGGAGTCAGGATCTCTCAGCATTGCAATAAATGTCGGATCCACAAGTGACCCTTCATCATTGTCCCTGCATATAGGAACACTTCCACAAAATTTTATTCAAATTTTGCACTTGATCATGACTTGTGAAAATACTGTTTTGGGACTCTATCGAGCAGAATTTTCATGGAAATATGATTTTTATTGCTGTAGCTTTCCTATGTAAAATAACTGTAGTTCCTTTTCATATGTGGGCACCTGATGTGCATGCAATTAGCCCATCAATTATGAGGAACTTTCACAAGTCGATCACACAAGTACCTAAATTGAATCAAACGCAATGCAGAACAAGTCCAGAATCGGTCAATGTAGTCCCAGGACAAGCAGCGAGTCAAGGGTATAGAAGCAATGGAGTGAGAGGGAGGATAATTTCATTAATCAATAATACAACTGAATCGTCTATTCCAACCCTCTTGACCTCATGGACGTTCCTCCTCCAACTCGCCACCTCAGCAATGCAAGTGTTGCATACTGTAACGGTGCAGACCAGAACAAGAACCGACCTCTCAATACAAAGTACAAGATAGCGTAGCGGAAGACTTAGATACCAATGATCCGAACAATCAATATTGCAATGCAGCCCTGAACATACATCATCATCATCGTTCCATGGTGTGAAAGGGGTCTGGCGCTTCACACAGGAAGACTGCGCCAGCCCC